TGTTGTTTGTTTTTTTTTTGGGTCCGGTCGTGGGGCCTGAACTCTGGGCCTGGGCGCTGTCCCTTAGCTCTTCAGCTCAAGGCTAGCACTCTACCATTTGAGCCATAGCGCCACTTCCGGCTTTTTCTGCTTATGTGGTGCTGAGGAATCAAACCCAGGGCCTCATGCATGCAAGGCAAGTACTCTACCACTGAGCCACCTTCCCAGCCCCTCCATGAGACTCTTATCTCCAATTAACCACCAAAAGCCAGAAATGAAAGTATGGCTTGAGTAGAAGAGTGCTAGCCTTGAGTAAAAAGCTCACAAACAGTACCCAGGTCATGAGTTCAAGCCCCAGAACTGGAATAAAAAAGCAAACACTATTATGTATCAGTTTACTTTGAGGTCATGTTCCTATACTAACTTTTTAATTTTTAAAAGTAATCATTAACCAACAATTTAAGCTAAAAAAATTACACTGTTGTTCAAAATTTCTATCATATTGATCTTAACCTTTAAGTATATAATTCTAGTTTGTACTTAGAAGTATTAGTCAGTAGAATAAAACCCCTAACTGGGGCAGATTTTGAACACTACCAAGATTTAGAGGGTATTACGTTTAAAAAAATCAAGTTATACAATACCTTAAAATTTCCAATTATAACATCAAATAGATTATCCCAGTATGAATTACAAAAATGATTAAAACTTGTTATTCACTAGCATTGTTATGGTTCTCCTTAAATTAGAAATGGTTAGAAATAGGACTTTACATCATGAGAAAATTGTATAGGTATTAAAGAGTTTGTTAGCTCAAAAATTACTGGCTAAGAATATAAACTCTTAGCTCAGGAATTTACTAGCACTTTAAGTCTAAGCTCTGAGGCTTTACTGCCTTGTCACTAGTCTTTAGCTCTATAAATCTTCTTACACAGCTAAGACAACAGACCAAAGGCGATGCTTTATCTCAGCTCACAGGAGCACTAATACTGACCCTTCAATGATCTAATTTTATATGCTTTGCAAACTTACCACATTGTACAATGCTCCGAAAGCGGAGATCACAAGCTGGTCCAATTCCATGAACTACAAAAACCAAGTGATCTATTTGTAAAGGTTCCCCTGTAAATAAAAGTAAAAAAGAGAAATTATCCTATGTAGTCAAGTATTCAAAGAACAAACATTCACAATGAACAAGCTATCAGTAAGCAAGTTAAAAGACAAATGAATAAAAGACAAAAACATTCCTATATTAAAAACTTAGTAAAAGTATATTGATTCTATTCTCTATATCAAAATAAGTTATGAAAATTTTTACAACTTTTCATCATGAAATAACTACTTACATAGAAAACTAGATGATGTAATATAGTAACTCTCATGTGCTGTTTATAATCTTAACTCTTAAATAATTACCATAGTGGCTGTATTATTTTCTTTATGTATGTATATATCCACACATAATTTATTTCTCTGAACCATTTGGAAGCAGGTTGCGTATGTCACCAGATTTCATACAACCTACCTCTTTAGCCCTTTAATATGTGTATTTCCTCCGCTTACATAACCACTGAACAATTATCAAATCCAGGCAATTTAACAATGATAATTTTTTTTGTTTTTTTTTGTTTGTTTGTTTTGTCCCAGTTTGAATTCTGGGCATGGGCACTGTCCCTCAGCTCTTCAGCTCAAGGCCAGTACTCTACCGCTTAAGCTACAGTGCCACTCCCAGTTTTCTGGTGGCTTATTGGAGATAAGAATCTCATGGACTTTTCTGCTCCAGCTGGCTTTGAACCATGATCCTCAGATCTCAGCCTCCTTAGTAGCTAGGATTACAGGTGTGAGCCACCAGCCCAGCAGATAATTTTTTTTTTCTGAACTCTAGGTCTGGGTGCTGTCCCTCAGCTCTTCAGCTCAAGGCTAGCGTTCTACCACTTGAGCCACAGCACCACTTACAGCTTTTTCTGCTTATGTGTAGTTGAGGAATTGAACCTAGGGCCTCATGCATGCAAGGCTACCTTCCCAGCCCCGATAATATATTTTTAACTAATTCCATTTTTATCAACTATCCTACTAATGTCTAGTATGATTTTAAAGTCTGTAATTTTTGTTTCTGTTGATTTATTTAAGAGACATGGTCTTACTATGTACCTCAAAATAGCCTCGAATTCATTAGGTATCTGGACATAACCTACTGTGGAATTAGATCCTCTTGCTTCACTCTCCTGAGTGTTGGGATTACAGCAGTATACTACCATGCCAAGCTTTAAACTCATTTTTTTAAATTATAGTAAATTATCTGAGCATGGCAACACACACCTGAAATACTGGTTACTAAGGAGACAAAGACAGGAGGTATCTGGAGAACAGTCCAGGCAAAGGCATAGTAATATACTATGTAAAAATCAACCCACCAATCAATAACAGTAAGTCGAAAACATTTACTCACGAGACAAATCATCTCTTTTGCAAGATAAAAGACATTTTTTAATCAAATTTGTGTGCAAAACCAATGATATGACCCTAGTGGATAATCAAGTTCCAATGAAACTTTTAGTTGAAAACCTTCAGGGCCAGGTATTACCAGTATTATATTTCTAGTCAAAATAAAAAATAAAATTTGCAGCTTTAGCTGTTTTTCTAATAGAGGTTTGCTTTTTTTTAACCAGGGCAATCCTTGGACAATAACCACAGTCTTCCTACCATGCCTCCTGCCTAGAACAGCATACTACCATACCTTAGCTTTTTTTCCATAGCTGGCCTCACCTCCATCCTTTTGCTTCCAAGTAGCTAGAATTACAGTTGTATGCAACCATACTTGGTTGTGATCTATTTCCCTAACGTTTCTCCTCTATGCTAGCCTCAAATCATGATCATCCTAGCTTCACCTCCCAGAACAGCTGGGGTTACAAACAAATAATATTGCCAGGCTCATGCCTGTAATTCTAGCTATTCATAAGGCTGAGACCTGAGGATCACGGTTCTAAGCCAGCCAGGGAAGAAAAGTCCTCATGAGACTTTTATCTCTAACTACTCAAAAACCAAAGTGGTGCTATGGCTCAAGTGGTAGAGCACTAGCCTTGAGCATAAAGAAGCTCAGGGACAGCACGTAGGCCCTGAGTTCAAACTCCACAACAGACAAAAAAAAAACCTTAACAGATGAAATGATAGTAATCTTAGCACACAATAAGCCCATCTTATTAAAGATCATTTTAAGCCTTGAAGGAAGAATCTAAAAAAAAAAGAAAAAAGAAAAGCAGTCACAATTTAAGGAATGAAATACTTATAAGTATTTCAGAAGAAAAAGCATTTTGGAAGAAAAAAAGAACCTCACCACAATGGATGTCAACAGAGATGTTTTCAACCCCTCTCTTCACTGTTCTTGGTCGACCTTGCTCAGTGGGTGTTGAACCCCATTCATCAGATCCAGCAATTGGCTGGTAATGTACCATGAGCTTTAATGGAAAAGATCAGAGCAATATAGTATCCATTACAGATATCCAACTTTTAAAATATATAGTCAAATCTCAACTGGAATTCGATATGAAACACCTACAGCTTGAAATGGGAACTCTGAAAATATATCAAGCTATAGATCATTTGATAATAAACCTAACATGAAAGACATGTTCACATGTGTTGGTGATTTTCTCAACATATAATGACATGACTTTCCTTAACATAATTATATTGTATGAGCTGAGTGGAGTAAATAAAGGTAACAGTTATAAGTTTTCCGTTTCTTTCTTTTTTTTTTTTGGTCCAAGACCAGGACATGATACTTTCGGCTCATTACCTAGTGTTCTACCAACTGAGCCATATCTCCAATCTCAAGTTTTAAGTGCAATCTTAAGTTTTAAGTTATGGTACATTTACTATTAGTAAAATTTACTAAATGTTATCCTGTATAGGAACCATACAAAAAGAAAACAAGTTTCCCTTAGTAATCAATATTTAATCTCAACATCAGTGAAATGCTTTAATGCATTTTACCTTTGGATTGTGTAATATAATAATTTCTCTGTTGGGAGACTCCAGTTTCTTTTTCCATTCATCCAAGGTTACGGCAAGCATGTAAGTTTCCTTAAAAGAAATGACATTTCATTAGATTTCTCTAGAAGCTTTTTTTATTATTAAACTAAGACTTATTACAAGAATACTATTATTGAGTCCTCATAAGAATATCACTTTCTGCCATGCACTGGTGGCTCACACCTGTAATCCTAGCTACTCAGAAGGCTGAAGTCTAAAGATCAAACTTTGAAGCCAACCCAGGTAGGAAAGTCCATGACACGCTTATCTCCTTCAGTTAACCACCAAAGAGCCAAAAGTGAAGATGTGGCTCAAGGGTAGATTGCTAACCTTGAGCACAAAATCTTAGAGTCAGTACCCATGCTGAGAGTTCAAGCCCCAGGACTAACACTCAGAAACACACACACATTAAATAAATTGTTTTCCTCTGGAAGAAGAAAAGGACCTTTCACTAAGCAAGCTCTCTTCCACTGAGTTGAGCTACATTCCCAGCCCATTAAAATTCTTTTAAAATTACAACAACAAATAGAGGTATTTTTCTTCTTCTGTAAATTCTCTATATATATTCACTTTATAAATACCAGCACTCAGGAAGGCAAATTAGCCAAAGGATTCAAGTCAGCCTGTCACACTCTACAACAATAAACAAACTAACAATAAGCCAATAAGATAAAGAAAAAAAACTCTCAATTTTATTGTGTAGATTAGTCATTTTTTTTTTTTGTGGGTCGTGGCGCTTGAACTCTGGCCCTGGACGCTGTCCCTGCGCTCTTCAGCTCAAGGCGAGTGTTCTACGGCTTGAGCCACAGCACCACTTTGGGTTTTCTGGTGGTTAATTGGAGATAAGAGTCTCAAGGAGTTTCCTGCCTGGGCTGGCTTTGAACCATGATCCTCAAATCTCAGCCTCCTGAGCAGCAAGGATTACAGACATGAGCCACTGGCGCCCAGCTTTATATTCTGGTATAACTGTGTGTATGTGCCAGTATTGGAGCGTGAACTTGTAAACTTGCATTTTCACTCATTTTTCCCCCCTTGGCTTTTTCTGCTCAATGTTGGCTCTCTACCACTTGAGCCACATGTCAGTTACATTAATGTGATTGTGACATTAATGTTAATGTGGCATTTATCAATAATATTAATGCCCTTTCTACTTAAAGCAAATACTAGTTTTCAGAATAATAAAAGTCAAGATGACTAATCCTGTGGCCATAGTTTAAATAATAATTAACAATAATTGCTAGAATCGAAAAAATTTTAAGTTTCCTAATAACTTAAAACCTGAGATTTAAGACTATTTTATGCTGAAACTAATTTACAAAAAGTAGTACTATAAAGTGGAACATAAATGGAACCAAACTTCTGGAAATTTCACAAAATATGTCATAAGAGGAAGAAAAAATTACTAAATGAAAATAGAAAATGATGAGTACAAAACCATCAAAGGATACCTCTAACACTTGGCTGAAGTTCTCCGAGTAGGGAACATATTTATTGTCTTTGTCCCCCTTGTAAAACCAGGTACATCGCCTCACTTCTGATGCCAGTTCATCCCAGTACACAGCATACCGCATCCTCTCCCCCAGATGAACATCGTACCTGCCCCCATCAGTGGGGACAACTCTCCCATTACAGTCTTTTCCTATCAAGAATTGCAAAGTGAAAAGAATTATATACTTCACAATAAATACTTCCTAAAATACCATTGTAAATGACATGCTAAGTAATATATTTCTACTTGGCTAAACATGAAATGAATGGAATTCAGTCTATTTGGATTACTACTTTTCAAGTATCAAAACCCTTCTTGGTTCTAATAACAAAAAAATACTACCCAGGGCTGGCAAGGTGGCTCAGTGGTAGAGTGATTGTCTTGCATGCCTGAGGCCCTGGGTTCGATTCCTCAGCACCACATAAACAAAAAGAAAAAAAAAGCCGGAAGTGGCACTATGGCTCAAGTGGTAGAGCACTAGCCTTGAGCTGAAGAGCTGATGGACAGCGCCCAGGCCCAGAGTTCAGGCTCCATGACCGGACCCAAAAAAAAAGAGAAAAAAAAAATACTACCCAAACAGTTTTGTTTCCTTAGAAAATGAAACACTGAAATGTCCTTTTTCTTAAAAATAGATAAATTGACTTCGCTGAATTTTTTGCTTAAGGGACCAAAAGGAAAACTCACAACAACCACCATAATATAATTAGATAGTATTCTTGTTTCATAAGAGAAAAAAAATGGCCGGGCACCGGGTGCTCACACCTGTAATCCTAGCTACTCACGAGGCTGAGATCTAAGGATTGCGGTTCAAAGCCAGCCAGGGCAGGAAAGTCTGTGAGACTCATTTCCAATAAAATACTCAGAAAACAAGAAGTAGAGCACTAGCCTTGAGCTGAAGAGCTGAGGGACAGCGCCTAGGCCCAGAGTTCAAGCCTCATGACCGGACCCCAAAAAAAAAAAGAGAGAGAGAGTGAGAGAAAAAAACTAGTATGTTAGAGAGTTCACTCTTCTTTTTTTTTTTTCTTCTATAATACCCTACTCTACATATATTCTTTGTTGTTGCTGTTGTTCGTGGGGCCTGAACGCTGGTCCTGGGCGCTGTCCTTCAGCTCTTCAGCTCAATGCTAGTGCTCTATCACTTGAGCCACAGCACCACTTCTGGCTTTTTCTGTGTATGTGGTGCTGAGGAATTAAACCCAGGGCTTCATGCATGCAAGGCAAGCACTCTACCATTAAGCCACCTTCCCAGCCCTCTACATATATTCTTTAGAAACAAAAACTAAAAACAAAAGTTAGAATATTGAAGTATTATTGTATTATTGAGTAAAAAGAGAGTATGATAGATACCGTTTCAAGATACAAACTAAATTCTTGAATATTATAGAACTTTGTATAAAATGCTGTAAAAAAAAAAACTACTTAACTAGGGATGGGAATATAATTCCATGGTAGAGTGCTTGCATAGCAAGCACTAGATCCTAGGTTTAAACCCCAGCACAACAACAAAAAAAAAAAAAAAAAAGAAAGAAAGAAAAATTACTTAATAAGAAAAATCTACTATTTTTTTTTCTTTTGTGCAGGTCCTGAAGCTTGAACTCATGGCCTTAGTGCTGTCTCTGAGCTTTTATTCCTCAAGACTAGAACACTCTACCATTTGAGCCACAGTTCCATTTTGGCTTTTTTGATGGTTAATCAAAGATAAAAGTTTCAGGAAGTTTCCTGCTCAAGGTGGCTTCAAAGATCTCAGCATCCTAAGTAGCTAGGATTACAGACCTGAGCCACTGGCACCCAACAGGAAAAAAATCTATGTATTTTTAAAGAAGTTATTAGTATATATTAGCTAGATAAATGGGGATTTCATTGTGCTAGTTCTATGAATGTGTATGTGCCAATCAACTTCCTCATCCCCCATCACTCTCCTGTAAAGTTTATTTTTAACAGTACTAACTATAAGGGATAGCTATTAAATTATACTTGGAGAGAACGCCTTGGTTTCAAAGTTATCACTGTCATCTTACCGGAGCCATATGCCTCTTCCAGCTGCTGAGAATCCTCAGAGTTGAAAGGAATCCACGTCTCTTTAGAATCTATTATCTTACAATAAAACCAATGTGGAGAAACTGGTTCATACAAACTGCCAGCATCCATGTCTAACAGCTCAAAGGAACTACATGAGTTTGGTGATGGGGATGGATCTGACTGGGACAACTGCTCCTGGTGTGCTTCCACTGATGACATTTTGCTTTCTAAAAGACAAGATAAAACTATCAAGAAAATTATTTTCCCTTTATTGACACTAATTATTCACAAGTGTATAGTGTATAGTGCGCTCTCTCTCTCTCTCTCTCTCACACACACACACACCGAAGTCATTTTAAGAGGCTATTTGTGAGAAAGAAATTTAAGAGGGTTCTATTAGAACAACCACTTTTTCTTAGACTCACAATTCTCTTAGAAGGCAAAGTACTAAACCAAGTTGGTAGACTATGTCCTGGTAACACCTAATACGTTCTAGGCTCTGGATCCCTTATTACACATTCACACGACTCCTGGAATCTCCAAATACAGACAACACAACCATACATTTAAGAAACAGTCATTTTGATTGGTCCTTAACGTGAGCTTAAAGACAGAGATACAAATTCAAACCCCGAACTCTTGTTTGAGGCCACCGTGTGCACGCGAAGCCCCACTCCCCAGCGTCTCAGGTGAAATGGAACAAGGGACCTTAAAAGCCTCGGCTGAGGAGTTTCCACCCGCGGCCTCCCTTCGTTAAGGACCTACACGGGCGGACGTCAGGGTCTGCAGGGACCTCCCCGACGGGAGAAAGCAGACAGGCGCGCCCAGCCCGCGTAGATGGCGCCCCCGGGTCTTTCGGCCCGTCCCTCGCCCCAGGGCCCCATCACCACCACGGCTCCGGAGCTCGGGGTCAGGACGCTCCCGCCCCGAGAACCTTTCGGTGCCTTAAGGTGCAGCCGACGCCGGGAGCCTCGGCCCCTTCCCCGCAGCAGAGGCGAGCTGCTCCGCGCCCCCGGTTCGGGGTCTGGCCGCC